AGTTTATCCACTGTCTCAGTCCTCTGTTCCCTTGCACCACATGCCGTCACAGGTAGAGGGCAGTGTGGTCTTACACACAGAGCATACACACGGTACAGAGGGTGGTTTGATAGGAATGTCTCAGACCACCGCTCAGAGTAACAGATCTAGTGTTTCATATCTACAGGGAGTGTTGAAACGCGAGGGTCCCTATAACAGGGGATTTACGGTCCCTTCTAGCTCCACTGTCCCTCACACTTCTCCAATTAGCAGGGGTCTGAAGCCTAAGAGGCAGGCTGTGGTTACCGAGGCAACGGATCAGGGTCCGTCTGCCCCGCACTGCAGAGAAGCAAAGCTCGCTGCTATAAGTGGAACAAGGGGCAAGGACTCCTATGTTTCGCGCAGCAAGACAAAGAGGAGAGCTGTGGTTACCGAGGCAACGGGTCAGGGTCCGTCTGCCCCGCACTGCAGAGAGGCAAAGCACGCTGCTGTAAGCGGAGCAAGGGACAAGGACTCCCCTGTTTCGCGCAGCAGGGAAATGAGACAAGCCGTGGTTGCCGTGGCAACGGGTCAGGGTCCGTCTGCCTCACACACTGCACGGAGGCAGAGCACGCTGCTGTAAGCGGAGCAAGGAGTAGGGTCTCCTCCGCAGCGCGCAGCGGGGCAAAGGGACAGAGACAAGCTGTGGTTACCAAGGCAACGGGGCAACACAGACTTCCTCGGCCCTTTCGTGGTTCCCCCCTCCTCTGTGAAGGCACCAGGAGTGTGGGGGGAATTAAGATCAGGTCTCACGGGCCCGGTGCCCCCTCTCACGTTCTTTTACCAGGTCTGGAGAGAGCAGGGGCTCCTCTCAGACGCGTGGCTGGACAGGACGTTACGCAGAGGTTATGCCCTACAGTTCGCGAGGAGACCACCGCCGTTCCAGGGCGTTCGAGCGGCAAACTCCAGGCGACATGGGACAGAAGAGGCTCTCCAAAAGGAGGTAGCCTCTCTATTACTAAGAGGTGCTGCGATCCAGGTCGACCCGCAGGACGCTCACAGAGGGCTGTACTCCCCTTACTTTCTGGTCCCCAAAAAGACAGGGGGGGTGCGCCCTATTCTGGATCTGCGCGCACTCAACCAGTGCATCTCCAGACGGCCGTTCCGCATGCTCACTACGAAGCAGCTGCTGGAATGCGTCAGACCCGGAGACTGGATGACCTCCATCGATCTGACAGACGCTTATTTCCACGTTGCGATAGTGCCAGAGCACAGACGCTTTCTGCGCTTCGCTGTGGGAGAAAGGTGCTACGAGTACTGCCGCCTCCCGTTCGGGTACGCTCTGGCTCCTCGCACTTTCTCAAAATGCGTGGAGGCAGCCCTGATGCCACTCAGACAAGCAGGGGTCAGGATCTTAACCTACATCGACGATTGGTTAATCCTGGCTCAGTCCAGGGAGGTAGCCCTGGAACACACGCTCCGGGTTCTGTCTCACATACAACAGCTGGGCTTTGTGGTGAACAGAGAGAAGAGCAGATTACAGCCTACCCAGCGCGCACTCTACCTCGGTCTGCAGCTGGACTCGGTGGAGTTCCGAGCAGCTTTGTCCAGGGACAGACAGGAGAGCCTCTCACAGCTGGCCACCAGGGCGCTGACTGCCCCCAGCGTGTCTGCTCGTTGCCTCAGATCACTCCTGGGGATGATGGCAGCGGCCCATGCAGTTATACGCCTGGGTCTTCTCCACATGAGAGGGTTTCAGAGATGGTTCTCCGGTCTCAGGATTCACCCCTCCCGGGACGCAGCGACCATGCTCGTAGTTCCCCCCAGGGTGAGGTCAGACATCAGCTTCTGGCTCACCCAGAGCGTGATGAGGGACGGGGTTCCCCTCAAAAGCGCCGTATCACACGTGGAAGTGTTTACGGACGCCTCTCTCGAGGGGTGGGGAGGGGTTCTGGGTCAGAGCTCCGTGGGAGGGCTCTGGTCAGATCCATCTCCGCACATCAATATACTGGAGATGGAGGCAGTGCGCAGGGTGCTACTGCACTTTGCACCACGGTTACAGGGAAGACACGTGATGGTGCGTTCAGACAACACCACCGTGGTGGCCTACATAAACAGGCAGGGGGGCACGAGATCCCCCGCTCTCCATCGCCTGGCGGCCCTCATCCTGATCTGGGCCGATGCGAATCTGCTGTCTCTCAGGGCACGCCACGTTCCCGGAGACAGGAACACAGGGGCGGACCTGATGTCCAGGGGGGGCCCACTCAGGGAGGAGTGGGGCCTGGCCCCGCAGATAGCAGCGCAGGTATGGCAGAGGTTCGGTCGACCTCGGGTCGACCTATTCGCCAGTGCAGGCAACGCTCTGTGTCCACTCTGGTTCGCGCTGCGGCCCACAGACAATCCACCTCTGGGGGTGGATGCCCTGGCGCATTACCCGTGGCCGGGGGGTCTTCTGTATGCGTTTCCCCCGACTCGCCTCTTGCCGGTTCTTCTGAGGAGAATCGAGCAGGAGGGTCGGGAAGTGATCCTCGTCGCCCCGGACAGCCCGCATGCCCTCTGGTTCCCGTTCTTGAGGGGCATGGCGGTGTGCGACCCCTGGCCTCTCCCGGACGAGCCCGGGGCTCTGGTCCAGGGAGGGGGGACGCTTCACTCGCGTCCGGTACTGGGCCGCAGACTCTGGGTCTGGAGGCTGAGAGGCGGACTCTCGTAGGTCTGGGTCTCCCCCAGTCGGTGGTGGAGACCATTCAGGGCGCTAGGGCCCCTTCCACCATCAGGGCCTACGGATGTAGGTGGAAGGTTTTCAGTGACTGGTGCGCGGCCCGGTCCTGGGACCCCATGTCATGCCCTCTGGAGGGAGTGCTGGGCTTTTTACAAGAGCTTTTAGAGAAAGGGAGGGCTGCCGGCACCCTGGCGGTGTTCGCGGCAGCCATTGCCTCTGGACATGAAGGGTTCGGAACCTTTTCGGCTCGTTCCCACCCACTGGTCAAGCGTTTCCTTCGGGGGGCCCAACGGAAAAGGCAGGTTCCTCAAAGGACCCCCCCACTCTGGGACCTTAAAGTGGTTTTGAAGGGGTTATCGGGATCTCCCTTCGAACCTGTGGCCCAGGCCAGCCCTGAGTGTGTGGCTCTCAAGACTGCCCTTTTGCTGGCGTTGGTCTCAACCAAGAGGGCAGGGGAGCTATGCGCACTCTCCGTTCGCCCAGAATGTCTAGCATTCGGTGCTGAGGACGGTGTGGCTGTGCTTTGGCCGAACCCAGCCTTTCTGCCTAAGGTTGTTACTTCGGCTTTTAGGTCAAGGGTCATCAGGGTCCGACCCTTTCACCCGCCGCCTCATGCCTCCGAGGAGGAGGAGCGGCTGCATCTGTTGTGCCCAGTCAGGATGCTGAGATCCTACCTGGCGGTTACAGCTTCCTTCAGACGGTCGGATCAGCTATTTGTGTGCACAGGCCCTAAGAACAGAGGCGCACCATTGACACCCCAGAGGCTGTCCCACTGGGTGTCGCGGGCGATTCGCCTGGCGTACCAGGCTCAGGAGTTGGTTCCCCCGGTGGGGTTCAGGGCGCACTCCACACGAGGAGTCGCGGCCTCCACAGCTCTGCTCCGGGGTGCCTCTGTGGAGGACGTTTGCCAAGCCGCGTCTTGGGCTTCGTCCTCTACCTTTGCCCGGTCTTATTTAGTGGACGTGGCAGAACGGTCGGTTGCCCATTCCATTCTGAACGCAGGGGTCTGACTCACCGTGACAGACCCGCTCTTCCCGTTTATTGGTTGCCATACTCCAGGAGCTCTTGATAGAGGCGTCCGGGGTATGGCCTTTCACTCTTCTCATACCTCAGGAGCTCTTGGTAGAGGCGTCCTAGGTATGTTCACTGTTGGCTCCTACGGGAGTCCTGCCTGAGTGTGGGCGTCCTTGATAGGAGCGGCCCTTGCTCGGTGTTCTTGCTCCTCTGGAGCTTGTCAGTGTCACTCAGGCGTCCTTGGTAGGAGCGGCCTCGTACACTGCGCCTTCTTATTCCTGCCCCGAGTCCATGCGCCTTGATAGTGCGGCGGGAACTCGGGCAGGGCTCCAATCACTCTACGCTGGCCTGATGGGAGTACATTCTCCGACGGCTTACGCGTGGTTACCCATAGCGAAGCCTAAGGGGCGTTAGCACCATGATGTAGAATTGATAGTTACCTAATGTAACTCAAGTTCTACGAATGGTGCGTAGCCCCTTAGCTACGGGCCCATCAGTCCAGCATGGCTTTGGCTGAGTTCAAAGTGGTTGGTACGGGCCGTAGAGGGCTATTTATAGATGGGACTGGCAGGTGATTGGAGCATTTTGTTCTCTCTGGCGGGAAGCAAGATGCTTCAGGAGTATACCCATAGCGAAGCCTAAGGGGCTACGCACCATTCGTAGAACTTGAGTTACATTAGGTAACTATCAATTACACTACAGTTACACTACAGTTACACTGCAGTTACACTACAGTTACACTACACTACAGTTACACTACAGTTACACTACAGTTACACTACAGTTACATTACAGTTACACTACAGTTACACTACAGTTACACTACAGTTACACTGCAGTTACACTACAGTTACACTACACTACAGTTACACTGCAGTTACACTACAGTTACACTACACTACAGTTACACTACAGTTACACTACAGTTACACTACAGTTACACTACACTACAGTTACACTACAGTTACATTACAGTTACACTACAGTTACATTACAGTTACACTACAGTTACACTACAGTTACATTACAGTTACACTACAGTTACACTACAGTTACACTGCAGTTACACTACAGTTACACTACACTACAGTTACACTACAGTTACACTACAGTTACACTACAGTTACATTACAGTTACACTACAGTTACACTACAGTTACACTACAGTTACACTACAGTTACATTACAGTTACACTACACTACAGTTACACTACAGTTACACTACAGTTACACTACAGTTACACTACAGTTACACTACAGTTACACTACACTACAGTTACACTACAGTTACACATATATAAATACATACTGGTTTGTTTTCAGATGTGTTTTCCTGTAAGAGTGATCTGCTCCTTGTCTCAGAATCCTAAACACAAAAACAAATGTTAGTTTAATGCACAAAGTATGAGGCACAAAAGAGCAGTGAACTTACACTGTCGTCCCAGTCTGAGGAGTCGCTGGAGTCACTCAGGCCAAAAGACGTATTTATACCGTGCTTTTTCTTCAAGGCTTTCCATTGCTCATTTCCAAATATATCTAAATATTTCAACACTTCATCTTGAGTCATTTGGGCTGAAGGAGGAAAGAAAAAAGTTAGTACCAGACACGGCAAAACCTGGGCTTAAAGCTTAAAGCACCTAATTTTCAAACCAGATTATTTTTTTATTTTTTACAAAACAGTTAGTTTGGTTCCATACACAGACTGTTTATATTAACTAGTTTTTACATGTATGTATTTTTTGGCCTAGGTCTCATCTTTTCAAGGAGATATATCAGGCAAAAAAGAGAATTCCACTCTCACTATCCAATCAGTTCTCAGCTCAAAGTGTTGATGCAGACATGTTCATGTGTTGATGCAGACATGTTCATGTGTTGATGCAGACATGTTCATGTGTTGATGCAGACATGTTCATGTGTGATGCAGACATGTTCATGTGTTGATGCAGACATGTTCATGTGTTGATGCAGACATGTTCATGTGTTGATGCAGACATGTTCATGTGTTGATGCAGACATGTTCATGTGTTGATGCAGACATGTTCATGTGTTGATGCAGACATGTTCATGTGTTGATGCAGACATGTTCATGTGTTGATGCAGACATGTTCATGTGTTGATGCAGACATGTTCATGTGTTGATGCAGACATGTTCATGTGTTGATGCAGACATGTTCATGTGTTGATGCAGACATGTTCATGTGTTGATGCAGACATGTTCATGTGTTCTTAACAAGCACGACACGGTCTGAGGTGTTTACAAAGTTCAACTTTTACAAGAGACAAATACAGCATTATTTACTTATGGAACAAAGTTGGTACCCCTTCTGTATATAACCTGCCTACTCTAACCCACTTACCCATACGACCATAGTCCATGATACTTTCCATAGAAGGGTGTTGTTCAATAAAACGTCTCTGGAAGAGCGAGGGGAAAAATCATAAAGACGTGTTTATTGTACAATAATTCACATAACAGGCTAAAACTAAATCTAAGTAAACTTTTATCTCTAATTACTGTGGATGAAAAACAATATAAAACATTTGAAGTCATGTATAGTACGACTATAAGTTTGAAGTGAGTTAGAATGAATGAACTTAAACTTACTAAACTTACTAAGAATCCAAAGGTTAGGTCTGTGGGTTAGCATTAGCATTAGCATTAGCATGTCAGCTAACCCAGGCCTAAGCTTTACAGAGGAAACATTATACACTTACCATCAACTGTAATCTCGCAAAGGCTGCAAAATAAACACATCGTAACGAGAATCTGAACAAGGACAACAAACAATGTATAAACATTATTAAATGTTCATACCGTCCATCAAAGGAGAAGGGTCTGTCTGCGGCTGCAGTCCGGAGGCGTGTCGCGTAGTGACGTCACCACACAACACGCCACCTGCTGGTTTTACGTCATAACAGCAGTTTATCATCTGAAAAATGATCACACAAATCCGTGGTGTAAAGTCGACTTTTACATTTAGTAGAACATACATGGGATAAAAAAAGGTATTCCTTGCGAGTATAATCAATACATTGATTATATAATTGGAAATGTGAAAAGTGTGAGAAGTTTAACGTTTTTGTGGCCATTTCATAAAGTGAAAAAGTACCAATATATTATTTCACAAAAAAGTTCTGCTTTCTACAATAGACATGACCTCAGCATGAAAAAAATAAATAAATAAAAGTTAACAGTCTATGGTTAAAATTGCATCAACATAGAACAAGAATATGATGAATAATAGATCAAGTTCAGGTATCTCAGAACGTGAACATCTTTCTACTGCAGATGCATTACAGAAAGTTACATGTAAAAGCAAATACAATGAAACAGCAGCTTCTGCATGTTGGTCTTGTCAAAAATATTAGTCTCCAAGGATTATTTATGTTCATTACACAATCATAAATTAAATCCTTAATCTACAAAAGAACTAACATTTCCTGTACTCATAAAAAGGGGTCCATGAATTCTCTAACCACTGCCTTAGCTGACCAAATATTGTACTGAAATTGTCGAGTCCGTAAAGACATCTTTTGTGCTCGTGATTATCAAACTGTTGAGTGGTTTTGATCATTTTAAGCGGCGCCAGATTCATCCAGTTCTGCTCTGTGCTTAAGACATAAGTACACAACAGCCTATTTTAATTATATAATTTATTATAACAACAAACCCCAGCATTGATAATTCTCTGAATGTGAATAATGAAGTGAGGGGAAGACGCAGTGATCAGGAAGTGATCAAATCAGTTTTATTCAAACTCATCTGTTTAAATGATTTTTCCCAAGATGCATCAGGCTTGTTAGAGTTCGTTTGCAATCTTAGGAGGGTAATGTTTGTGCTGAAGAAACGGAAGTGCTTTTCTTCTGAAGGCTCTTCCCATGAACACCATGTTTGTACAGGTATCGCTTTATCGTGGAACAGTGGACTACAACTCCAGTTTGGGCCAGCTCTTCCTGCATGGCTTTCACAGTCAGATACGGGTTCTGACTGGCTTTAGTCACAATATTATGGACCATTATGTCTGTGATCTTCCTCGGCCTTCCCGACCGCTCCTTCACCTCCACTGTTCCTGTTAACTGCCATTTCTTAATAACATTGCGAACCGAGGGAATTGGTACTTGGAGTCGTTTTGCGATCTTCTTGTAGCCTTCTCCAGCTTTGTGAGCATCTATCATTTTCAGTTTCAGGGATTCCGGTAACTGGCGATTGGAAACCTTGGCTGGTGATTGTTGGGGCACGGTGAGAGGAGCTGTGGCAGTTATGGAGGGTGGAAAGTGCACGCTTTGAACAGCATTTGCTTTTCCCAAATCAGGAGATGTCCATATTCCTGCAGGATTGTCTTCTTTCTTTGACGTCAAAAGTGCCTTTTGAGCTTTGTCCTCACTCCCACACTCCTAAAAGTAGAAATTAGTGAGTGTCTTAATTGCAGAAAGAAAAAAAACAAATCTAACAAAAGCTCAGATTGGATTCTCACCATTAGTTGCAAAGTCTGTACTCTCATCATTTCTTGAGCCGCTTCTTTGCTGGAGCTGTCCAGTTCAAGAATGTCTTTGAAAGCAGCAGCCGCCTCCTTGTACCTCTGCCAATCACAAGTCAAAAAGAGTAACCACATTGAAAAAGACAATTATTCTCAACATAGAAAAATAAGGTGTTCTGTTAAAGCACACATGGGTCAGCTCCGAGAAACTAACTCAACAAAGAACCACCAGCTGAATGAGACGCTCAAAAGTGGAACAAATGTGGCAAAAGACCATCAACAATTTCAGATTCAGATTCAATTAAAATACATTTATAGGCAAACTTGAAAACAAATGTGCAGAGGGTTTGTTAGGATTCAAAAAGGCGGCCTCAAAAAATGTATGCTTTTATAATTTAAAATATCATTATGTTGATGAGAAAAGGCCCAATATGATTTGTTTGTTGTCCGAGGACACAGAAGATGGAAACGTATTCATCGACGTTTTATTTGGATCTGAACTTTTGATTTCAGTTCCAAACGGTTTTAGTTTCACAGAACTTGCACAACTTCTCGCTAACTATTTAGACTGAAACGTACACAGACCCAATAGTTTGTGCCATATTAAGTCTATGGGGACCTATTTTGACTAGGGGTGGGAACCTCAGGGAACCTCACAATACGATACCATACAAAGATCACGATAACGATAATATCACGATAACGATTTTATCACGATATGACGATTATTGATATATTGGTCAGAAATATACAATATACCAATTTATGGCATAAATAAAACAAAAAATACTCTTTATTTCATGATGAATATAATGGAGATGAGTAATGTAGCCATATATTAAGTCTTGATACCAATTAAAAACAAAAAAAAGTATATAAAAAATAAAATAAAATAAAACTACATTATTTATGTTGTTTTTTCAAAATCGATATCGATACTTGGCAAATGCATATCGATAATCGAATCGCAGGAGAAAGTATCGCGTATCGTCACACCCCTAATTTTGACATGATTTTGAAGGTTTTTGGAAGATGATAGACCAGAAGAAGACTTTTTTAAAAGGGACAGATACAGGATCAATAAAGTCTATCTCTGGATCTCTTGGTCAACTGACAAAAGGATGATTGCTCGCACACGGAAGCCCCCTCACTGGCTGTCTCCCCACCAACACATGTCTCGTACCTTGAGCCCTGCCAGAGCTCGGCCTTTCCTGAAGTGACCTTTGACCCAGCCTGGACTCATGCTCAGAGACAGCTCGGCGTCACTGAGGGACTTCTCAAACTCCTGCATCTTTTCAAAACAAAACGCACGATTTCCAAATAACCTGCAAAAGACACGAGTTTAGGAGCTCAAACCAAAGCAAAGAACAGATTCACCTCTACTCACTTAAACTCTGTGGGGTTGTATTTAATAGCTTCTGTGAAATACTGAGCAGCCATTTTGAAATCTCCAGCACCAGCTAGCTTATTCCCAATCACTGAAATAGACACAATTATTACAAATGTACCAAATTTACACCATTTGGAAGATAATGTTTATTGTGTGCAGGTACATAGCAGTAATTTTAAGTAATTTTATTCATGCCTTTTTCTATTTGCAAACAAGTTATAAAGTAAAAGTAACTTGTTTATGACTTCCTGTTACTCACAATTCTGATTCTGATTTGAGAAAAATAACTTACTTGCATAATTAGCACTCATTTTAACCAAGTCCTCCATTTTAGGGCTGGATGCCACAGTATCCTGTAAACGTGAACGGAAAAGGTATTTTTTAGCAGGTTGTAAACTATACATTTTCAGAATAGGTTCACACTGCAAAAGATGACAGAATTAAAGACAATAAAATGCTCAAATTTGGCTAAATGTATCTAATTTTGAGCACATTTTGACTGCCTTAAAACAACATTTGCCAGTGGAACAAGAAAAATTGTCTTGTTTTAAAAAGATACAAGACATTTCTCTCTTGGAATGAGAAAATAAAGCAATAGTTCTTGAATCAAGTCAAAATTGCTTGTCTCGTTGGCAAATCTCATTTTAAGACAGTCAGAATGAACTTAAGTCAAGTTAAAAAAAACTCAATTCTAGCAATTATGATCTCATATTTGATCATTTTTTGCAGTGTGAGCTTATGTTTTAACACCCTGACGTCTTTTTCAGGCATTTTCGGTCTTTAAAAGTGTCCATGTTTTGCTCCAAACGTCATCTAGTAATAATGAGCAGCTGAAGTCGAGACCCGAGAATAGATTTTCCACATTTATTTTGCTGAAGATAATAAGCCCTTAAGAAGAAAACGCAAGAACTAATGAAAAGAATTACCTGTTCACCATGAGCGGATGTGTCTGAAGTGCCGTCACTGCGTTTACGATCTAAAGGCGAGGCCGTGTCGTTAACGGGGGATTCTTTATTCTCATTACAGGCTTGTGAAGTGCCATCCTTAATCTGTAAATGAAAACATTGATAGAAGTCATTGTTGGAGAGCCAGGTCAAGCAGCAGCGTCGTCATGACCTTATCCTGTGCCATATTCAGGTGCTTTTCCGGCCGTCTCTCTTTTTCTCGCTGTAGGACAAAATTAAAACAGTTCAATTCTCAATGTCACAAAACAAAACACATTTAATTTAAATACATTAAAAGGCTTATGTGAACCTTCCCCTATAACACACATTAGTTCATAAGATTATCATTGTGGGTCATGACAGATTTGGACGAGATATTTTCAGCTATAAGTGAGGTTGGGTGTTTGGGAGTGTGGGATGTCAAAGTCAAATATATCAGAGGGCCAAAACAAAAAATGTCCTACAAGCCGAGGGCCGGACTGGTTCAATGTTTATGAAAACATATTTAGATGATGGGCTCAATGCACGCACCACTTCCACGTTTTAGCTAAGCCCCACTTCACTTCCTGTTCGCGGGAAATAGCTTGAGTTTTGAAGAGGATGTGCCAAGTCTGGGATCGTGTCATAAATTCCGACAGAAGACATGTTTTATTGTTGATGGTAGAGACAGCACGAACAACACAAACAACAGAATGCAAGTGTATTATACAGAGCGGAGGCATGGAGACCTCCAATCAGCAGCTGCCACAGTGCCATGTAGCTTGGCCTTCAGATAGACACAACAAGGGAAAAATACTGGCTTCTGCACATTGATAGAATGATGAGTTTAACTTTAACAAAAGTTGCTTCAAAGTGTTATGAAATCTCACAGTTTCACTGGAGATCAGCAGTGGTTTACACGAGTTTCCTAAATAATGCTCAAACGGGAATTAAACTGTGAGGATACTGGGCATTTTTGGGACACAGCAGTGCTCTTTGATTGTGCTGTCATTGTGTTTTTATAAAGTTTACAAATCTCTCTGAGTGGCCAGTCACAGCTCTACCTCAGAGAGAAAGCACAGCAACACTTTTGGATCAGTCTCAGCTGAATGTATCAATCTAATTCCTAAAAAACGTCACTAAAACCCACCTAAAAGCCAAAGGAAAGCATAGGCAGGAAGTGAACGGGCTGTTAACAGGAAATGACGTCACGCCTCCCCGTGCATAAAGCCCATTGCATATAATTTAGCCAACCTTAACACAGTGCGCCATATTTATGCCTTAACATTAAACAAATAATATGGTCTTATGGCTCTGTGCAGCCGGTTCTATTACCAATCAAATATCATCCCAAGGGCCAAGATCATTTCTTGGGCCTTGACTTTGACACCTATGAACTAGATGCTAGAACTCCTGCCCAGTTCTACACTCACGTGCAGGGTGATGAGTGACTATTATTCTAGCCCTGTGGTCTAATCATACATTCAGATAATAATAGTAATTAAATAAGGTTAATAATATGGTGAAATTAAAACCAATGTCATATATGGAACGTGGGGTATCCATGACCCAACATTACCTCAAGAGATCTAAAGTAGTTATCCTACTTATAGAGGTCAAAACACCTCATAACAGTGACTGAAGGGTCAGGGGAAAAAAAAAACCTGTCTGACACCGTAAAACTGAATAAATCTTTAATACACCCATGGGTCAAATAAACAACAACTGCACTTCATTAAAAACAACTATCAAATATAGTCTTAAACTGAAATTAGCAACACAATCTGTCTAAATTGTCTGGCCAATCACTGGACAGAAATGGTCTGGACCATGATCCCTGCTGCAAGACCAAATATCGATAAAAACTAGTTCGAGTGCAGGTCATCTGGACTAAAGCACAAAGATTAGGCCAAAGTTGTCATTCTATTTAACAAGGTTAGACGTCCATGAAGCCGTGTTCCCACAGCTACACCCCAAGGTTTTCTAATCTCTCCCCCACGAAGCAGCCGACTTTATTCAATGAATCACAACCTCTAAAACACACCCACAAACAGTCAAACATATGCATACAGGACACAGGAAGCAGGATAACAATGGCCCACATCAGCATGGCCCACATCAGCATGGCCCACATCAGCATGGCCCACATCAGCATGGCCCACATCAGCATAGCCCACATTAGCATGGCCCACATCAGCATGGCCCACATTAGCATGGCCCACATCAGCATGGCCCGCATCAGCATGGCCCGCATCAGCATGGCCCGCATCAGCATGGCCCGCATCAGCATGGCCCGCATCAGCATGGCCCGCATCAGCATGGCCCGCATCAGCATGGCCCACATCAGCATGGCCCACATCAGCATGGCCCACATCAGCATGGCCCACATCAGCATGGCCCACATCAGCATGGCCCACATCAGCATGGCCCACATCAGCATGGCCCGCATCAGCATGGCCCGCATCAGCATGGCCCGCATCAGCATGGCCCGCATCAGCATGGCCCGCATCAGCATGGCCCGCATCAGCATGGCCCGCATCAGCATGGCCCACATCAGCATGGCCCACATTAGCAAGGCCCACATCAGCATGGCCCACATCAGCATGGCCCACATCAGCATGGCCCACATCAGCATGGCCCACATCAGCATGGCCCACATTAGCATGGCCCACATCAGCATGGCCCACATCAGCATGGCCCACCTCAGCATGGCCCACATCAGCATGGCCCACATTAGCATGGCCCGCATCAGCATGAACACCTCCCACCAGACCTCCAGGAGCCGAGAGTACTAATATACATACAGTACACCCGCCATGTCCTGACATGGATTTAAAACATTATGTTCTCAAAATTCATTAAAAAGATCATCTAAAAACATTTCATTAACAAATATGCTTTTGGGATCAACTCTATCTACTCATGAGACATTTCTAACACAAAATTAGAAACTTTAACATTCCCAAATACATACCAGCTTCTTGAGGCGCTTCTCTTCTGATTTTACTTTTACAATCTTATGTGAGAGTAATTCTGCTCGCTTGTCAGCATTCTAAAATACAAAACATATGTTTGATGATTCAATTCAGGCAAATATATAACCGGAACAAAAGCAAAAAGATAATTATATACGTACACTTTCTTCGTCACTAGACTCGCTGGGGCCATGAACCGCCTTTATCCCATACTGCTGTTTCATTGCCTCCCATTGCTTATTTCCAATTATATCTAAATATCGTATCACTTCATCTTGAGTCATTTGGGCTGAAAAAGGAAATAAAAAAGTTAGCACCAGACAGGCACAACAGAGAAGGAAAGTGACACTTCCAATTTGTAATGTTTCTGGTTAAATTACACTTGAATTAAAATATAAACTACGGTGTTACCAGTGTGTAATGGAAAACAAGAAAATACATTGATATTCACACAAAGCAAAGCAGAAATCTACAACTGACGACATACAACTAAGAATACATCTTTTTAAGTTTGACACCATTCACAACAAATAAATCAATGTATATCACGTTTAGATTAGACTTTTGATTTCTGAGAGACATCTACAAACTTTGATCGTTTTCAACTTAATCTGATGATCTTTCTTGCACCGTTACGTTACTATAAAAACACGTACCCATACGACCATACTCCATAATAGTTTGCATAGTAGGGTCTCCTTCGAAATGTTTCTGAAAGACATTTAACCATAATGAAGTTATTACCATAAACAGCTCTATATGGTTATTACATTACGTCATAACTTCAGAGAGGATAATACATTATTTTTCATGGCAAAATTATTTTTATTATTAGTATGGATGAACACAACAACAATATATAATGCGTTGCTAAGTTACCAAACAAACTTATATCAAAATAACTATTAATTAATGTAATGTTTTCCGCTTTAGCATTAGCATTAGCATTAGCATGTCGGCTACACACAGGCCCAATGAAAACACACGCGTTTCTGCCAGAGAATAACCAGGCTAATCACCATCAAGTGCAGTCTCGCCGAAGCTGCAAAGAGAATGAAATGCAATGAGAATCCGACATTTGACAGAAAAACTGATCTGTAAACACAAGGAAATATGCCCCATACCGTCCATGAAAGAGCTCATGACTGAAGCTGCGCTGGCTGCATCCGAATTCACACGCTTCTCCTCCTTAGCAGTAAATATACTTCCTTCTCCTCCTTCTTTTCATTGACATACTTTTACTTACGTGAATTTATATTGTTTGAATGAATATTTGAAGGAAATTAAGCCTGGGAGATTAAAGTTGAGATACCTAACTTTTCCCATAAAAAAATAAATAAGTAATATATTTTTTATCACAACAGAAAGAGTCTTGTAAAAGTAAAATGTGGGGAAAAAATCAGAAAAGTGTCATTTACATTGTAAGAGCGAGCCTTTTGAGTCACTATTTGATGCTTTGGGCTGATTGTGTGGATAGGGGCTGCAGTATTTTGCTTTTGTCTGATTAATCTGATCTATAGATGTGACAGGCCAAAAATACCTGCATCTGAAAATTAGTAATAGTTCCTCGCTCTCAAAACTCTTGGTGGATTTCATACTTCTGTGTGGTTTGAAAGAATCATGCAGACATTCTGTAATCATATATAGTTTAATATAAGTTACTGTTAAAATGCATACAAGTACTTGTTACTCGTATGTTACTGAGATGAATATGTGTTACATTACTTCGAGTTACTGTGTTGTTTTCAGTCAAGCTCAGATATCGATCAATCATTTTTATTGCTACGTAAGTAACAATTTATGGAATCGCTCTGGGCTTTGTGTTTTTCTAGTTTCTGTTGTGTTTTTGTACCACAAATATGTGACGCTGCAGCTCTATGAAATCAATAAAACCATCATCTGCATAAGTGGTAGGAGATATGACGACAAAGAAAAATACAGGAAGAAGACGATCAAATGGACCAATTCTAAAGTAAAAAAAAAAATCTCATTTAGTCAGAACTTCTATTGAAAATCTTTTAATGCATTTTTTTACAAACGTATACATAAATGTAAAAATCAGCTGCTTCAGAGCTGGATCCTGAGTCCATTTCAGTCTGCTCTTTAATCTACATCATCTATCTTAAAGCTGGTCGTTGCAGTTTCCTGGAAAAGAGAAGAAGAGTGTGAAGTCTGCTGTCCGTAAGAGCATTAAACAGATCTATGGAACCAAAGCCGTCAAACCAGTTCCAGAAAGGACCAGTGTGGCTGCAGGGTTTAGATCCAACCCGAGCAGCACATCCCAGTCCACCCGGGTCGGAACCTAACACCTGCAGAACTTTGAGGACCGGTTCGACACCCGTTTGCCATGAACCTTTTTATCTACTTTTTCTCCTTGCGTTCCCTGCTGCGTGTTCACAGATGTATCAGGTTCCTCTTGTTTTTCCTGGGCTCCGTTCGTCGTCTCACTTGTCGTAGGCAAATTCTAAAACAGAAATGACAAGATACTGTTTTAGTCGAGCACTTCCTGAACACTCAACACTCAAATCAAATGCATGGTTACCGCTCCGCCATCAGATTTATCAGTCCGAAAAGATTGAATCCATTTTCTCGCCTGGATAGTGTGTTCATACTGCCTTCGAAAATCTGCCGCCGCGCTCTGAAAGAGACATTATTCACAGTCCTTTCATACTGCAAAGAATAAAAGGTTGATTTTTTTATCCAATGAGAATGTCTGCTTCCTCCATCGTTTACACTCTAAGAAATAAAATGTTAGATTTAATTGATCAAGTTAAGTATCTATGGTCTGAACTGTATGGTACGCGGATACAGGTGGATGAAATTAGCTTCCTCCGCAGAGTGGGAGGAGCTTGGAGTAGAGCCGCTGCTTCTCCACTTTGGGAGGAGTCAGATGAGGGTCTCTCAGCTGACCTGGGAACACCTCAGGATTCCCCCGGATGACCTGGAGGAAGTGTGCGCGAAAAGGGAATTCTGGGTGTCTCTGCTTGGACTGCTGCCCCCGCGACCCGGCAACGGATGAAGCGGAAGAAAATAGATGGACTGCTCAGTGAACACCACCCTCTACCCCCAGACTGTCAGACTGCTCAGTGAACACCACCCTCTATCCCCAGACTGTCAGACTGCTCAGTGAACACCACCCTCTACCCCCAGACTGTCAGACTGCTCAGTGAACACCACCCTCTATCCCCAGACTGTCAGACTGCTCAGTGAACACCACCCTCTACCCCCAGACTGTCAGACTGCTCAGTGAACACCACCCTCTATCCCCAGACTGTCAGACTGCTCAGTGAACACCACCCTCTACCCCTAGACTGTCAGACTGCTCAGTGAACACCACCCTCTACCCCCAGACTGTCAGACTGCTCAGTGAACACCACCCTCTATCCCCAGACTGTCAGACTGCTCAGTGAACACCACCCTCTATCCCCAGACTGTCAGACTGCTCAGTGAACACCACCCTCTACCCCTAGACTGTCAGACTGCTCAGTGAACACCACCCTCTACCCCCAGACTGTCAGACTGCTCAGTGAACACCACCCTCTACCCCCAGACTGTCAGACTGCTCAGTGAACACCACCCTCTATCCCCAGACTGTCAGACTGCTCAGTGAACACCACCCTCTACCCCCAGACTGTCAGACTGCTCAGTGAACACCACCCTCTACCCCTAGACTGTCAGACTGCTCAGTGAACACCACCCTCTACCCCCAGACTGTCAGACTGCTCAGTGAACACCACCCTCTACCCCCAGACTGTCAGACTGCTCAGTGAACACCACCCTCTACCCCCAGACTGTCAGACTGCTCAGTGAACACCACCCTCTTCCTTCAGTCTGACCTGTCTTGTGCTTGCCTTGTTCACAAAGGGAGGATTGTCTAACATTTATGCTCAGTTGTACAAAAAAAGCACTCTTCCCGCTTTTTGGATCAAATTTAAATTGAATTACAGATTTTTATTTTTTTAAACAATATCCTAATTAGAAGGTTTCCCCGTTAAATGTCGTGGTTATATGACTGTGTTTTGGACAAAGGTTTATCAATAAGAACTTTAGTGTTTTTCTATACCTCACGGTCCCATTCCTCGTCACTGCTGTCTTCATCCTGAACAGATTCAAGTACAGATATAATTCATACGGAAATGGAAGGAGAAAAAAACCCCAAGATTTATAAACTCACGCTTTCTTCTTCCTCCTCTTCATCATCATCATCATCATTGGTTCGGTTCTCTTCCTGTGGACCAGTGCTTACAGGGCCAGAGGAGACATTTATGCCGTGCTTAAGTTTAAAAGCGTCGTAATCTTCTTTTGTGAATTTCTCATAAACCACGATCTCTTCATCATTTTCCATTTCAGCTGTTGAAGCAGTTTACACAGTTTAGTCCGCACAATTCAGTAAATATATGTACATCCCACTTACCACGAAGACCTGCTTCTACAAGGTTTCGCATCATGTCGGACATTCCACCGAACAAGGTTTGCTGGAACAATAATCACAAACTTTTCAGAACTCCTTCCATGCATTACATTAAGTTTGTCGTTCCCGTGGTCCATTCATTGATATTCACACAAAACTGCTGCTGGCACTTTCACGAATCTTTGTGGACCCTCGAGACGACTGCTGAATAATAAATGAATTGGACTTGGAAGTAATAAACAGAATAAAGTGAAACTCGTAAAATAAGAACATGATCATTATGGCTCAAAGCTTGTGCCTAAAACATGGATATCTTGAAAATTGACTGTAGTTTCACATTTTAGGTTGAATTACAGAAATAAATAAGGCACAAATGTAATAAGAAAATAAATAACTTTTCATAAATACTTCCAGAGTGTCCATTTTCATTGTAAAAGTAGTAATGATCTATTATTCAGATGTAGGGGTCGAAATTGCACAAATCTTGAGTTGACAAGAATTGGTTAAATTAAAACTCAAAACCAGTGCTTTTTCCCTGATCACAAACTTGTACTCAAAATGCTGTATTTATACTTTCATTTGTCTTTATTTTAGAGTTAGGCTTTTTAATAAAAATCGGATCATGAAAAGTATTGAGATATTTCCACTAAGGGTTTTACTTTACACACTTTATACGTCACTGTTTTGGGGAAAAAATGGAGATTGAATCCTCAAAGACCTCTACAAACTTTCCTCCCATGTATGCTCCGTTGGCCACAAACAATGCGTGAGATCACTTACCACCATCGTGTGCAGCTCTGTGGGAAACGGCGAAAATGGAACGCAGTGAGAAACACATGACGCAACACAATGTGTGCTGCAAATAATAATAAATATAATAATAAATGTATCTTACGATCTCCCTCTCCAGAAGCCATGATGATGTGGGCCTGTGGTCCTTCCTGCAGTGTGTTCAACCTAAAGCCGACTGAAGCCAAGGAGCACACCGCCCGCGCGCGTGCGTGCGTGCGTGTGTGTGAATAGGAGGGGGTTACGCACACGCACACGCACGCACACACACACACACACACACATCGCCCCCAGCAAAGTATCTTGTTTAACCCCACTATTCTCCTCTGCCCCGAACAAAGCCACAAGCTGCAGTTTTCCCATTGGCAAAGGAGGAAGAGGAGGAAGAGGAGGAAGAGGAGGAAGAGAGTGAGGGAAGGATGGGAGGATGCAGAGAGAGGCAAGTTTTACTATCTATGAGCCCTCACCTGGGTTCTTGGGTGTTGGGTTCGAGTTTTCAGTTTCTTACTTAATTACATTATTATTTTTAATATAATTAATAATTAAGTCCCATAGGCAATGTAAAAATTTTCCTTTTACACATCCACACTTCCAGCATAAATCTGTCGCCAATAGTGTAAATTGTATATCATAAATAATATAAAATCTATGTGAAATGTACGAACTACGAACTTCTTTCACATATATGCATAGATCTATAATATATGCATGGGTCTATAATATATGCATAGATCTATAATATATGCATGGATCTATAATATATGCATAGATCTATTAATATGCTTTAAGAATAGCAGGAAGAATAGCATCTTGACTGAACAAACAAAAATCAAGTATAAAACTATAAATAACTAAATTTAAACTGTGTAAATAGATTTTTTTACAAACAACCTATTTATTTAATAACAGCGTTCATAGTTTAAAAAACGTCTCTGTTTATAATTCCTTATACTCTTGTGCAGCCCCTAGCGTATAAAACTCACATTGAGTAGAACAAATTGTCATGTTTTTTCTTTGCAAGGCCATTCATCAGCACTTTTTCAACAAAAGAACCCGCACGTATAATTAAAACAAAACTGAAAACAAGAAAAGATGTATCGTCCCTGGGTGGGCTCGAACCACCAACCTTTCGGTTAACAGCCGAACGCGCTAACCGATTGCGCCACAGAGACAACTGCAGCGGCTCCGCAACGACTTTGAAAAAGAACATAATACTTACGCAGCACATACGTTCATACCAGAGACTGGAAAAATTACATCGCACTCAAGAAAAGGAAAACATAATGCAGTGCAGAAACGTGCTATTGATGTGATTGCAGATAAAAAAACAGTATTAAAATGTTAGGATTGGGGTTAGTGAATATGAATACTGTTATAACTTATGAACGAATAAGTATGTAGTAATTCAGCATTGGGCTTTAGATCGACTGTATACATTTGGAGGAGACGTATTTTTAAATGATAAACTTGTATGTGAGGTCTAATCCCCGCCGCCAAGCAGGTGATGGCACTTTACCGAAGCAGAAATACTGCCAAAGATTGAGGCAAACATATTGGATCGTAAGAAAACACGTATATCCTCAAATGCAACGTTTGCGGTTTCGTTGAAAGAAATAATCAAAGGTGGGTCAGAGAAAATGTTACATTACCTCTAAATTGCCTCATATTATAAGACGTGGATGAAGTATAAGCTACTTTCCCTATATCCGAATTCAGCAAAAATACAGCTTGTTGTACTTCCATTGTAAATAACGAATATGCTCTCAATTGTTTGTGATAACGAGCCCAGTCTGCATTGTCATGAGTAACTCTAAATAAATAATTCCTGTTATGGCCAAGTAGTTCGTGAAGATAATCAGGAGTAATTTGGAGGCGCACGCTCAGCGACTGCACTCAGAAGGTCCATTTTAATATTTACAATCTATGATAATCAATCTATCATAATGACATGGTGTAAACGCAGCCCACATTTTCTCTGCTGCTTTGTCCATTTCTTAACACTTTAAACTGCAATGCACCACCACGTGCCCATCACATAATTTAGACATATTAATTATCTTAAATAGGTTCTTATATAATATAATTTTCTGGCTTTTGTGAAACATTAATGCACTCATGGCTTATGGCTGGGATTCAAGCACGAAAAAAAATGCTATTCCAAAATGTCCTTGTATAATTAAGAACCCAGAGGTAATATTTGGGTTGCATTATTTACGGACGTATCCATACCACGTGACCAAATACGGAACTGAGGAGAGAGAGGCGCACTGAAGGAGGAGCGGACAGACGCGTCTCCGCTTCTGTTCTGATCCTCGGAGCTGATACTCAGACCTCTGCCTCGGCTGTGTCTATATCACCAAATACAACCGCCAATTCCATCGTTTCTTCGCCCAAACTAGCTTTACTCCTCACGCGTAAAAGGTAAGTGACGCCAAACCACGCGTAACTTTTGGTTTGCGACTGTTTGTGACTGCGCTGTTTGCATGTTCTTTCTGTGTTTTAAATGTGGTGCACGCGATGTTTTGTGACTCAAAGTTGTGTCTGAGTAGAAGTATGTATTGTATTGTTGTTGTTAATGTCGAATACTTGTTAGAATAGGGGTAAATTAACAGTTTTTTTGGTTTTGCGTCGCGATGCACCTGTCTGAGTAGGCGGTCTGAATGTGAAGCACTTTTACCCCAATTCATTTCTATATTATCTCTGTTATGATATAGTTACGACTATAGTGATTGTCTATGTCATTATTAAAGCTAGGGTACTTAACTTTTGTTTCATGAATACAGTGTGTTTCCACCAGAAAGTGTGTGAACAAATATGACCACAAAATGCGTCCTTTATCTATATTATAAATCATGTAATCTTGTTTTGGGTGAGTGTCACTCTTATTCTCACTGGCAACGCCGATATAAATATGTGACAGAGGATATTATACATGCATGTGAAAACTAGAGATCGAACCAAACAGTTTTTTCGTAAGGATTTCATTTTGTTGTTAGTATTTGTGGTTTCAAAGTTAAATCCTAATCTGTGTCAAATTGAATGGCATGACTCATGATGTGACATTCAGATGAGCAGGTTTTACTCAGGCAGAAAGCGGTCATTGCTCAATACTATAAATTGTATAAACACCTGTCCTTCCTGGTTTTGACCTTGCTTCACAATCATTCATGGATCAATGTTCTGTATCTTTCTTACTGAAGTGGGAAGAGATTTGTACATTTAGCTCACAAAGGTAAAAGAATATTCTATCAATCTTTGCCAATTCTTTACCTCACATACAGTATGATTGGAGTGATTTGCAGGTATAGAACATTTAGCACTAATGCATTAATAGTTTTGGCCTCAGCACCAGCCTTGAAAAGCTGAGTGCTCGTCATCTTGTCAGTGACATTTGTCTTTTCTATCGATCAGCGGCAGCAGCGTGTCTCTTCACTAACAAAGGCTTAGTGGGAATTAAAGACCAAGGCAATTGTCACTCCTCACTCATGATTGCATTATGTTGGGTTAGAACCAATTCAAAAGATATTGTTTTAATGAATGAATCAACCCACAATCAATAGGGCTCTTTGGATTGGTGCTTTTCCCATAGAGGCGGTGAATGCTTTTCCTTAAATGTTTGACAGTATGGAGTTATACTGTAAAACCATTACTAGTTTTAAGTCAGGTCTGTGGTGAGTGTCTATGGTAAATCATGTTTTTCACAGTTTTATTATGACATTTTCAAACAATATTCCAGGGATAATACTGACGTCTCTACAGACCCAAGCAAGTAGCTCTAACACTGAAAAAACTTTATGTTTAGTTTCAAAAGATCTACTTTTTTAGTGTTAGTTTATCCCTTGTACTTTCCTCGGGCCAAAAATATCCTAAAGTAGGGTCTAAAAAAGTCTAAATGACCCAGGGCTGGTCAAGTTAGGGAAAATCATCAAACTTCAGCTCGAAAAAACTATTCTGTGGTGGATAAATCTGACCCGAGGATAGCACAAGGGTTAAATATAATTCCTCACCTTTCACTCTGCATGGAACTGTCACAAAGTCCACACTGTCTTTGTCAGAACATGTTCTTTATGGTCTCATTATTTTCTTATAGAGATGTCTAAGAGCAGTGACAATATTCTAAAATCATGCTTGATGTTGACTCTAATGCTGGGTCTGAGTCTGATCTGGGAAAACATTTGGACACTTTCTTTTTCAACATTAGTTTCAAAAATGGCTTTTTCTCAAAGAGATGCACCGGAAGCTGCCCTAGAACATCAATGCCACGTTATATACGAACCCAACAAGATCAACAGCGCCATGTTTCATCATCAATGAGTGAAGAGTTCTGCTGTTTGGTATAAACAATTACTAAAGTGCACAGACACTCAGACTTTTGTCCAAATTCAACACAAAAAGAAGGATTTAACGACATATTTATAGCAACAAATACCAGTCTCTTGTTAGAACTCAGAGTCGACCTTCCTTCCTTTGTTGGACGATCAGAAAGGAAAGGAAATTCAAGTTTAACTGGTGCTGTGGGACTGTCGTCAAATGAACAATTGAAAGGAAGCAGTATTTTAATTAAAAGCAGGATATGTTAGAAAGACATGTGCCCTTTGCGTTCACATCTCCAAAAATTAACCAGATTTGGAACTAGAATTCACTTCAATTGTATCAAGTGTAAATGCTTTTACAGAGGTGTCCGACAAATCACCTTTTGATTAAACTAAAGTGGTTTGTAATTTAATCCTCTTTTCAGTAACAATTGGCCCCACTATATTATTATTATTTATGAGAACAGAAAACTTAACAAACTTTCAAAATAACCTAAAATATTGAGACGTTTTTCCAGATTTAAATGATATATGTTTATCTTAGACCCTTTAAAGACCCTAAATAAATAACATAAAACCTTATATTTATAATTTTAAAGTACAATGTCATTATCATTTTGTATATAAAGTTCTGTAAGTTGTAGTAGTGAGATGAATATACTCGGTCCTGTAAGAAGATCACTTATGAAGTAGTCACAAGACTCCAAACAATATCTAAGTGTTTTCACTGGGGCCCGTCCCTTCATCCATCTCTGTTTTTACTGTTCTGCTCTGACCATATTTGGTCATATCTGTGTTTACATCCTGAGCTGCTCTGTGACTCTGGTTTGTGAAAGGCGGTATATAAAATAAATATGGCTGACTCTGACATGTCTGTCCGTTTGCTGCACTATTCCCTTCTAATCCTCTTAGACGGTTTTGTTGTTGTTTCAGTTAATGAACTCTGTGGAGAAAAACATTCTTAAGTCATTCTTCGGTCGTCGCCGCAGATAACCTGGAGAAGATTAGATAATAGAAATCTGAAGCTGTTATGTCATGTTTATCTTGTCCAACCTTTGCCTTCTTCAACTCCTGTCTCCTTGTTTCCTTTCCTAGGGTTGTTTTGGAGAAGCAAGGCTGGTGATGACAACCCAGTGACGGTGCCGCCTAAAGTTTTAACGTTTGGACAATCTTGTGCGATATGGCGACTGCAAAAAAGAGTGAGTTTTTATAATTTGATGTTAATTATAGTCTGAACTGTCCCCCTGTATGTTAGCAGTGGACCCAGTAGGACATCACCACAGGGAATGCCTTATGCGCAAGAAGCCAATTTAAACTTAAGCTAGCTGGAGCCAATATCCTTATATGGGCATGTGTTCTGACGAGCTAGCTTTACGTCATAACAGGGGCAGATGTGTTGCTAACATGGTTGCTAAGGCAAGCTGGAGTTTTCTCTGAGTATAAAGGTGTCTGACTGGTCAATCCTAATGAGTCCATAATCATAACGCCAAGATCATAAAGATGCTAAACTACAGATTTTGTCCAAAACTCCGTCCATTATCACTGCTCCATTGGGCTTCATCGAGCAGGGCCTTTATCCCCACCGCTGTCAGACTGTACGATAAGTCACTTTAAATGATCACTGTGTGAAAACCTGCACTACTATTAGGGCTGAAACAACTAGTCGATTAATCAACGACTAATCGATTATTGAAATAGTCGACAACTATTTTAGTAATCGATTAATCGTTTTCTGGTTCACACGGACTCAAACAGAGCAAAAATGACATGAAAATGTAGTATTTTTGATTAAAACCGACTTTGTTTTTATAATTTCATGAATATCTGTCTGTCTCATCCAATCAGAGCAGAATTAGCACAAAGAGCCTGTTACAAACATTTACTTTAAGTTTACGCCTCAATACGTCCTCGAGTGTTGCCACTTTAGCTTTTTGTGATGAAAAAATATTTTTTTTCTACACAATTCACAGCCAAGAAATTACTCGATTAATCGTAAAAATAATCGATAGATTAATCAATTACAAAATAATCGTTAGTTGCAGCTCTAACTACTATTGACACTGTTTCCAATTGACACTTGTCACTTTTGTTGTACATAATTATTGTCACTTTATTGTACATATATCCTGCATGTAACATGTTTGCACATTTCCTCCTTTTGCACAATCTGAGTGTCTCTATCCATGCCAAATGTGACATGTACATTTCTCCTCTGTGAGATAAATAAAGCACATCTTATCTTATCTTAATGCACGTTGACAAAGGAACTAGTTACATGGATTTTAACGACATCATTTTCTTGAGGTTTGAGAAATTGGCACTACAATGCACACGTTATGTAAATGACTTAAAGCTAGGTTATAATGTTAGTTCATACATCATTAGCTTTGAGTGGAAGCCAATTATGTTTTCATTTTTAATCCCAAACTGATTAAACTGATCCCACTGAGAATGTTCCACTCATGACTGAAATCCTTTTGCATTTTCCCCGTTGCTATCGCTGCTGTGTTGGTCGCAGCTGTCCATGAAACCCGCTATCGAACGGTTCACGCAATGGCCACCACCTGTGTTGCCCTGACTTTCATTTATTTAATCCATGAAGAAACAGGGCAGTAGATTGGACGACAGATTTGTACGACGTTAAATGTAAATACCCGGCTCTGAATGAGCGGGGAGTGTTCTTGCAGACACAACTTGTCACATCGTTAACAAAATGTGCTAAAAGTCGGCATTGGCGAAGAAGCACCAAGCCCGCGTTGACTTTGTGTGGGACACGTTCAGAATGCTTCGTGAGGCAAGAGAAATAGTTGCCAGGCTGACGTGTATATTGTATAAATGTCACAAACTATACAACAACACTGCTGTGATCAGGACTGTCCAAGGGCTGAAAACAGGATAGGTCTTAATCCATATTAAACCATGACAAAGCCTGGATAAACCATGAAGCGGTGGCCTTTAAGAATAACTAGAGCGTTTTGTGTTGAGCTGTCGTGTCCATGCTTGTGTGTTTTCAAACTACCTGTTTTTTATTGATATATTTAACCAAAGTCACTGGCCCTGTATGTATATGTTATGTCATTTTGTTCTGTGTTTTTGCTAGCATTTTACACCATGCCGAGGTACACAGTTGTAAGCTAATATTGAGTTGGTTAGGTCCTATTGTATTGTATATTGTATTGTATATTGTATTGTATATTGTTTTGTATATTGATTAGACTGGTGTAGTTGGGAGTCTGTTTTTATTTACCAGGATATTATTAGCATATCATCTGGTCTTGCACTGCAGCTGGTTTTCATCTCTGGTGTGGGGGTTAGCAGCGTGAACATGTACCCTGGAGGCTCACGAGATAATGCATTTAGAAATATATTAGACTAACCAGTATCACACATTCTCTCGTTTACAGAGCCCGACCGTACTTAGCATGTTCCTGTTTGAACAGATTTCTGATCAACTGCTCGACTGCTGCTTTACTATGAATAATGTGGAACCATTTTAGTTATGATCAACATTTTGGATCAGTAAAGCAAGCATCAAGAACATAAACAGCAGAATTAAGTAATAGTTAGACATAAAAGTTGCTTATTGTCACTAATGACCTAGTCTGGCTTTATCCATCCGTTCACTCCGCTCAATCATCATGTCCTGCAGGTAACGTCTGGGTCTGGTCCCTGTGTTTGCGATTACAATCGGTTGAATTTTGACCGACCAATCAGAGAGCGCGGGAGGCGGGTGTTGTAGTTAGTTGTGGGCGACGTCAAGAGTTTGCGCCGAACGGGAAGGTTGTAGTTTGGCGAAAATGTGATAGTAAAGTAATCCGGTCTGGTTCTATCAAGAAACTGAAGCCGGAGCAAGAGGAATGTTTAGCAAATGTAATCGCTGGAAAAAATGTTGGTGCTACTCCCCACGGGCTCCGTTAGCAGCAAAGGAGATGGCTAAAGCTAGGCTAAAGGCTAAAGCTAGGCTAAATGCTAACGACTCACTCGGGCTCATTACATACGTCACAGTAAACTCAGATCCAATGGTTTCAATCTGCAAAAGGAGTTAACCCCTCCCACCTGTTAACGAAGTCAATGGAGACAATCCAGACCTTAGTATGAAATGAAATGAGTACTATAGTTTGAACTAGGACTGAAGAAAACAGCACTTCTATTGCCACTTTTGACTGTACATAATCTACCCTCAGTGACCCATAGTGACATGTACATTTCTCCAGTGTGAGAGCAATAACGTTTATCTTATCTTAACTCATCTTATTGAACAATTGTTTTATACAGAAAATAGCTCATATCTCTCGATTATTGCAAAGGAAACGTGCAGGCGAATAATATTGAGGCCCAAAATATAGTTCATCCATTGTTCATCCTAAAGGGGATTATAAAGAACACCTGTAAATAGACCGCTCCAGCTTAGTTTGAGAAAGGCCACACCTGAATAAAAGCCCCAGGTTTTCATGATGTAATGTAACACTTATACTGTATAGACAGATGGAGGAGCAAAATAAAGCTGATAGATGACTGTTCATTCATCATTTCATCAATTCAATCCAGGAAATGCTCTTAATTGAATAAAATACTGTACAAAGAAGTGTCTTAAAATCACTGTAGTTGGACTTCTTTCATGCAGCTCGGGTCTTTCAAAACCTTGATCATTAATCTGTTGGTTAAATGTGTAGGTCTTTGCCAGATTCCCAAAGAAAAGCACCTTAAACGTAACTTTTCCAGCCTTCTGTATGTTCTGGGGATAACACTTAACGGTGACACGGCTGTGATTCTAACGTGTGAACCCTGAGGATGTGTTTTGTTCTTCTAACAGGAGCTCAGGCAAAGTGTTTGACTTTGAGAACCCATAACATTGAGTCCAACTGTGTTTATTCTTACACTCATGGCTGCACCGCTGCCCTCAGCGATCATTGATCATTGACGTCGTCACGTTGGAAATCCAAATGGCTACTTAGAAATAACACGGGTGAAAATTCTGCGAAATAGAGATGGGATAATGCGCCGATCCCACAGGCTTCCATGTGTTTTAATGCCCAATCAAATCAAAGGTGAGGCTAAATGGGATTTATTTGAACGAGACAATCGAGGGTGCTTTTTGCAACTTTTCTACTTCTTCCCTTGGATATGATGTCATTGCTTTGACTGGAAGGAGCATGACAATAAACCTGTCAAGTAACGTAGCTTTAATTAAACAGTAATTTGATGCATAAACAAAATAAAAGTCTGATCAACCCAAACTTCCATAATCATCCATCCTACTGAATTCTGGGTAAATCAGCCATATTATCAGCCTTCACAGATTCAGCAAATGTAAAACTAAATATTCAAAGGATCAGCTCTTTTTAAGGTCATGGTGTTCCGCTTTCACATCAATCTTCTTTGGGACTAGTTTTAATATCTCTGGTTGTGCGTCTTGCCGGGTCAATGGTACCCAGCGTTTTTACTGCTGCCTCATCTCTCATTTCTCGACAAGCATAAGGTTTGTCCTGGCTTGTAAGGAAGAGCCCTGTGAGTCACTATTTGATGCTTTGGGCTGAGAGCTGATTGGCTGAGTGAAGGTGGTCCTCTCTTTTTCACTTTTCTGTCTGAAAAAGTTGACAGATGACAAAAATGCAGTTGAAAACTAGATACGTATAGAGCCAAACTGTTTTGAGAGTATAGCAAAAAATTAGGCTGAGGCAATGATCTCAGGCAGAGCTGGAGGTGGGATTAGCAGGTTTTTCTGACAGAATGCAAACGTGCTGCACCTTTCATTGTGTTGTATGTCATGACAAAGATGACAGCCCAAACTATAGGTATGACCAAGCTCTGTGACTTTACATTGTGTTTGTCCCAAGTCCAAAACATGAATGTCAGAGTCCACAAGAAAGATTTAAACCGGATCACAGGTGCAATCTCTGCTGCTTTGTCTTGTTTGAAGGTTAGACACCGCAGTTTTAGGTCGATGGAAGAGCAAAGTCTGAAATAAGGGCTGCTGTGTTTTGGTGCTTGGTGCAGACGGAGAGGCTTTCCAGTGCCCCTCCCCCGGTAAAGCGTCTCTGCGTGTTGTTCAAAGTGAGCTTGGCGTCCTCGCTGTTCTCAAGTATAAAAGAGAAGAGACAAAGCCGTGATCGCAGCTGCTGCAGTGAATAGTTTTGTCATGATAGTTCTATAGAATCGCAAGCTTCCCAAAAATCCTGTAGTTCAGATTTTAGACTCT